GTCAAACTGCTGTAGCATTGTGAGTCAATGACCATATAAAAGGTTGTGCAAGCCGATGGGACTGGGCGTTTCAATACACACCGTCTTACGCATTTTATTTTCGTTATTACCTAAAGGCTGCTTGACGTTTTTGGTTTTCAAGCATTTAAGACATTTTCTGTCGTCTCAGGTCCAGTAAGATTACCTCCAACTCGTGGGAATATGCACTTTAAGCCAACTAACACACCACACCCACGTGTGTCATAATGCTGAGAGATGGCGTTTACTCGCCTTGCTCCTAACTTACGATAATTCTCCCGCTAGATGGCAGGCCTGATCCCAATGTCGCGGATCCCAATGTTAATTTCCACGAGACACCAATCCAGTGTTATATCATCCATGGTCGAGCTTTATCAATATTGAAGAGCTTGGGACACGATTTGAACAAACAGTTATCACCGTAACGCGACTGTGGGTATTAGTGATGTCAAATACAGAAAATCAGGATACCGATACCAAACCAAATACCAACCCAAACCATGGGAAAATACCGAAACCGAACCAACTTAGGAATATTAGGGAAATACCAACTTTTTACCAAATTCACGGCCTCTTATACATACATTAGCGAGCATTCATAATACCAACAAAATACCAAAAACATTAGGATTGAAATACCAAATACCAAGTTGGTATCGGTTTGGTATCGGTACCTATACCAAAAAGTTGGTATCCGATTGACATCTCTAGTGGGTATCTTCAAGCTCGATTGATCATGGAATTGTGAAATAATGCTCTGTCTTTGTCTTTAAAAGGTATTCTGTGAGAGTTATGCCAGTCTCTTGTCGGTCTCCTATCTCGCTTCTCCACCGGGCTGCTAAGCGGGCCTTGCGGCACAGCATCGTCTCAGGCGTACGACTGTGGCGCCATCTTTTGATAGAAATATCAGTATGGTACGGTTCGTATTGATTTCATTGGATTCAATACTTTGACCAGGGCAGATCGCGTGGGACTAATGGCTTGAGACCTTAATTTTCGGGTGGTAATCAATGTGACAGCCATTGCTGTTCTCGGATCGAGAAAAGTTGAGCTGAGTTGAGGGTGGAAGGTAGAAACGGCCGAAATACCAGCTCCGGAGAAAGGATCAGTGGCAAGGCTGGATTCATTAGTAGCAGCGACTAAACCAAGAGTATGCATTTATCATCTACGTTATCAAGCATCCAACGATACATGTTAGATCTGGATAGCATAAATATTAACTTATATGCCTTGCATAGGTACCTATGCATGGGGACCCAACTAAGCTGACTACATTGAAGCAAGCACGGCTGCTGTATTACGGCAGTGGTGGTGCCACCTTCGGCGCTAGACAAACTAGAGCTTCCTTTGCACAGAAGGTGGCGCTGCTCAGTGCCCAGGCAGCTGGCACCCAGGGTATATTGAGTGAAGCTGGGACCACTGCCACTTAGCATTTGTAGCCGATAGTTATCATCAGACAGCAAGGCTATCATATCAGTTGCATTGAGTTGAATGGAAGTGTCGCATTGGCCGCTCGATGCTAACCGGATGCTAGTGTGGAGCGGCAACTGGTGTTTCGACACATACCGGAGGTCATTGAAGGTCTCACAAACCGGATGACGGTTCGCCCGCAACGATGGCCAATGACCGATATCGTTTTGGCCAGTGGGATGTTTTTGATGAAAACACTTTTGATGTTTGGGCATGTACTGGTGGTGCATCTCCCAGCGTGGATCAGTTAGCTCTAGGCTCTAGTGCATGTAACTACAGACTTCAGCACTAACATCGGTACTGCTCACAATTGTTTACAACTCTGTTAAGTTACGATTTGCAAATGAAAGTTAGAAATGCAGGGTACGTTTTTACGAGCATGGTAGGCAGACATAAAGACATCTTTTTTAACTTTTAGAACATGTACCTTCCTATTACCTACTTCTTAGATGTTCTGAATTGAATGAGTACGAACACGGTCGCCTGCCAAAACTCCAAAGAACAATGCCACAGCCACACACCAAATTCTTTCACGCCCATGCAAATGTCAGTGTTTCTTGCAGTGTCGGTCATGGAAAGGTCACTCAAATTAAAATGTTTTCATTCCTGCACGGGCAAATACAGACTGTTTGCCGCCGTTGAGGCCACATGTCGGTGGCGTCTGGCGTTATAGAAGCATCGTTAGACGAGACTGTTGAAAAACAGAGTAGTATCATCCTGTTAACTTCTTTTTACGTCATGGGCACGCCCAAAAGCCACACCCTTATTGGAAGAATCAATAGTCAATCCATCCCAGTTGACTTTTAGTGCAACGGTTCTATGTTTGGATACTTGGCTTATTGAGTATTTGCTTAGCTACCCTCAATTGACGTTGCCGACTCGCGACATCCTGTTTCTTGTTTGCGGACCATGATAAATTGGTCTTGGAGGCGTTCCTTTCAATTGATGACGCGTGAGTCTGATGGGTATGATTACCTGTCACATGCGGGTGAAACGGGCGTATAAAACGTCGACCTTGGGGCAGTGGGCGGCACAGGCGCACAGACACACGACCGACGCTGAAATGTGCGCCTTAAGATCGGCTAGTGAATGAATCGGGCTGATGTGACGTTGCTCCGCTCCTGGCTTTGCCTGGATTTTTGATCTTCTGAACTTCGATCCCGGAAGTTTGCCGTCTTCTGCCCCGGTGGCTGCTTGCTCTTTACACTACCTCTTCGGACACGTTCGGCACATCGCACATCATGTCGTCGCACGCCCGTCTGCTGAGGCGAGTCCTTCTGGTGAGCTCCGTCCTGACGCTGACCGGGATCCACAGAGGCGACGTGTCTCCGCCTGTCCCACTGCGAGCCCTGCAGGCTGTCCCAGTGTCGCTCTCGGCAGCCGTCCTGGTGCTGACGCTGCACCACCTGACGATGCTGGAAAATGTGCACGACAGTCTTCTCAGTATCACGAGTGTGGTTGGCATGATGCTCACCCTCATACTCGTGGTTTGGCTCGTGTGGCGCCGCAAAAACATCCACAACCTCCTTCGTCGAGTCGAGTGGCTGGAGAACCAGAGGGAGATCTTCAAGCCGGAAGACGTCACAGGTTTTCACTTCCTCGTGGCGTTCCCTTGCATGGCGTGTGTGGCCTTCTTGGTTTTCTTCTCTGTTGCCATGTCCAGGATAGAGTTTGGCTATCCGCGTCTCGCCTTTCCCATGTGGGTTCCAGAGACGATGCGAGACGGTGCTGGCTTCGTGCTCGTTTACGTCCTGCAGCTGGCCTTCACTTTGATCCAGCAGTCCGCGCTGCTGACGTTTACACTTCTGGTGATTATTCTGACGGAATCGGCAACTGCAAACCTGTGCCTGCTGCGACGCGAGATACTCTGTATTTGTGGTCTGGAGGACGAGGAATCTACGTCGTTGACTGTGGTGAAGTCGCGAAGTGCCTCTGAAAGAAGAGCTGGAGTCGAGGAAGGTTCCGTGGATGACAACATCAAATCAGTGACGGAGAAACTGATGACGATTTCCAGGGCCAAGAAAGCCTGGATGGCGAATGCCGTCTCGGTGATTGAAAACGGAATAGCGAATTCCTCTCATGAGGATATCGAGCCAAGACGGGATGTTGCCTCCCCCACCGTTGAGGCAGTCTCTGACTCCCTGACCCACCCCTCTCCGTTCACCGCCTCTGACCCAGCCGTGCGGCTGCAGCGCCTCTCGGAGCGGTACCGGCGGGTGTTCCTGCTCGTCTCGGAGACCGTGTCCGTGTTCGGCGCCCCCCTGCTCGGCCTGCACGCCGCCGTGGCCGCCATCCTGCTGCTGGCCGGCTACGTGGGCGCCGGCCACCTCTCTGGCCGCCGCGGCCTGTCGGTGGACGTGGCCGGCCTCTCGCTGGTCATGGTGTACTGGTTCGTCTGCCTGCTCACCGTCAACGTGTCTGGCAGCGGCCTGCTGGAGCGCTCCCAGGAGCTGCACAGCGCGCTGGCCAAGCAGTGCTGGCCGGCGGCGCGGGGGGCCGCCCAGCGGCGCCGGCTGGGCGCGCTGCTCGAGCAGACGCGCGGCCCGCTGACGCTGCACGTCTGCGGCGTGTTCACCGTCAGGAAGGAGGCCCTGCTGTCCGTGCTCAGCTTCGTGCTCACCTACTTTGTCATCATGATGCAGATGATACGCTGAAGGAACGATGCAACGTAGTCTCTGGTATTGACGTGCGGCTGGCCAATTTAACTTGTTCTTCAACGCATCCAAGGATACCAAACGTCAGCTTTACTACAAGAGTAATTTCTAGGTAGCAAGTCCCGTGCTATGGTGAACTCATTCCCACCAGCTATTACAAATTTCCTGCCAGTTTCTCGTGAATGGTAAGAAACGTAATGAATAGCACCCGTGAAGCGTTACAAAATATACGCAGCAATAAGACGATATTTGAAGTCGGGGAACCTTCCACCCTAGTCTGAGTAGTCTGTATGTAGGTATTAATTAATTCCCTTCCAGCTTAAACTGACCGCCAGGGCTGAAGGGTCGAGAGATTTTCGGTGACTCAAACTCCGGCATAAGTCTCCGAAATCGACTCCGACGACTCCAACTCAGACTCGAACTCCAACTCTGCAGCCCTGATAAGCACCTCATTAGTCTCGCTCATACACCTCTGCCGACGCATGAGCTAGACTAGTCCGTAATTTTTCGGCAGAACAGGGTACAGAGCCTCGATTTTAACGTTCCTTGGTTTAAAACCTGGTAAATCATTTGTCTAGATACTTAATCCTCCTGAGTGATTCATGATTGCGTCTCTTTAGGTAATTGGTTTACGATGTATTTTTATACGTTTATCGTTGCTCATTTTGTTACGCACCCAATAATTACGTAATACCCATGGATTCCTAATCTTCGCATCAAATGGATTTATTTTCTTTAATAGTTAAGCGTAGTGATTCTTAGCCTTTAAAGACTAATGGCTAGGGTAGAGACTACCTAGAGTGTTCCCAGGTCCCAGTTGGCTCGTCAAACCAGTTATTTCGAAAATGAAAACAGAAGTTATCAAATCATTTTGTAGTCACCAACCGAAGAATCATTCACAGTTCACACCTTTTCAGCACTCGCGCATCATTCTAGTCTAAAAATATAAAACGTCCTGCCCTCATTACCCGTACCGTTTTACATTTATCGGCACATTGTCCTAAGTCCGCCGCTTACCGAAGTCGCGCCAAGCGGCCCCTGAATTAAAATCAGCCCCCAATGGAAATTGACGTCTTTTTCCCCGAAGCGCAAGTCGCATCAAACGGTCCCTGAGCTCAAACAAAATCAACCCGCAATGACGACCAAGTCTCCTTCACAAATCTGAAGGCGCCGGGCAAGCTGGAGTTTCTCAATGGCGACAAGAGTCTCAAAGTCAAACGCGCCGGGCAGTTTCGATCCTTTCCAACACCTTCAAGCCTACTTCCCGAAGCCGAAGCCGCCGAAGGTGCCGTGCAGGTTGGATCCGGCGCTGCCGAAGGTGTGCTGGTTGGATACGGCGTTCACGTTGCTGCCCTGGGTGTTACCGAAGACGCCGCTGGTTCCTACGTGAGTGGCCGTGGCAGTGTTCGTGCTCACTGCGTTACCGCCGCCGGCAGAGCCCTGCGGGAGGGGGAGGGGGGTCAGCGGCTGGTGGCGGTGGGTCCGTTCCGAGATACTTTGGCCGTTCGTTGTTCAGCATCAGCAGATCGGAAGCGAAGAGATGATAAATTCCAAAAAGACTGGCGGTGTTTTTTTGCATGCCAGTTTTACGGGCATATTTTACGGATTACAATTACACGCTTTGACCACAAATGCTGTTACATCCATAATGCACTTATTAAATCAAAAAGAATATAGTAATCGATATTCGATACGCAGTTTGAGAATGTGGATCGTTCATGAATGTTCAATACGAGTAGTGTTTGTCTATTTCAAACCACCTGCGGTTACAATACAATACTGAATACAGCCGATATTGCTGCCAAAAAAAGAGGGCTTCAATGCGAGTTAGCCTCAACTTTATATCTTTGATCAAGTTGCCTATTCGCGCAAGGATATCACATATTTGCGTTTCTATTGCTCTAAAATAAAGCCCCTGCCGCCCCTCTCAACTGCCCCCTCCCGCTGACTGGTGATGGCACCACTCACCCCGGCCGACGCGCCCACGTTGGTGATGCTGGTGCTGCCCAGCGGCGTGTTGCTGACACCAGTGGTGACTGTGCCGCCGGCACTGCCGGTGGCCTGGCCGGCGGGGCTCTGGAACTGGTGGTGACCGAACGAGCCCCCGAACAGGTTCAGGCGGGACGGGCGGCCGGCCGCCGCGGCCGCCAACAGCAGGACGATCGCAACAGAACGCATCGTGGTCGAAGGGCTGCGGATAGACGGGCGATGTTAAGACACTTTGTCGGTGTTTTAACTTGCTATTTTCACGGAGTTTAAAGTACATCACGATGTTTTAGCCTTTAGTCAACTGGAAACGACTGAGCAAAAAGTTGCCTACCTACATGTAAATAGGCAAATATTTGTGTGGACAAAATGTCTACTTTACAGCAGCATTGAAGGGAAGCAAGGATACCTACAGCAACATTGAAACAGCAATGTTAACACTTCACGTAAGTCCCAACCCAATCACCAGCCATGGTAAATCCTCCCAGCCCCTCGCAGTCTTACCTGTGCGTGCGTGCGTGCGTGCCGTGCGTTCTGTCTCGACTGCGATCACCTGACGGGTTGTTTGTGCCTCGTCCCCTTTTATCAGTTCAGCTGGCTACCGCCCCGGGCTACGTGCCGTCCCGAGGAGTGGGGTCGGTTGGCCGGCCGGGGGGAAGGGAGGGGAGGGTGGGGTGGTTGTCCGTGGGCCGGGGTGGATTATGTAGGGTAGGACTGGGGAGCGGAAACGGAGACAAGTGAGACTTTTTGTGATATTGCGTCGAAAATGGATTGGTTATATTTGAATTATTAAGCAATCAGGAGATTTATATATCTATAATAAAAATGAAATGAACACAAATCACATATTTTTCATTTGGCAAAACACCCCCTTTCTTGTGCTCGGACTCTACATCCCGATTTTTGTGCTGGAATAGCCGATAGTCCAGTTTGACCCGCTACTTCTTCGGTTGCTTTTAATGAATTGCCTGCGGTAACGAACCAACTACAGTCAGGAGCAGTGGGCGTCTTTTGACTTTATACGGTCAACGGACGGAAAGGACTAACGTGAACACGCTTATTTCTGACGAGAAATTAAACTTGATCAACTAGGTACAAGACATGCTCATTTTGGTCATTTGAGCACATGGGGACGTACCTACTCGTAAATGTTATCGGTCTGAATTTCAATTTGTTTTAGAAAGCTAATGCGTTAGGAGCTGAACACAATCCCTTGCAAAACGCACCTAGCCATTTCTGCAATCTGACTCCCCTGAACGCCTCCGTTTCGCCTCGAGCTCGCATGGGAATTTCCACCCTCCCCCACTGAAGCTCTCACACTCGTCTCACATGTCTGGAGGACAACAAAGAAGTGCGTTGGCCCTCGGCGTGACCCGGCGGCAGTGGACGGGCACCCTTCTTGTTTACGCGCTAGCACGCGGTCTGGGTTTTCCACCCAGCACCGGAAGAGTCAGCGGGACCGCTGCCCCGAGGCTATGCTGAATTACCTGGCAGAGATGTGCACGGTGGCCAGCGAACCCGCCCGACGAGCGAGTGTGTTTGGGTGGCGTGGGGAAGGGAAGGATCGGTGTGTATGATTGTGAATGATGGATGCATGGCAAGTGCTTTGCAGTTTTATCTTGACTATATGCTAATATGGTGATGTGAATAAAGTTCTTAGTCCGTACGGTATACAGTTGTCCGGATAGTTTTGTTTCAGCTCCTACCTAGGTTTTGGTCCAGTGATTCCGTCATGTTCGAAAAGAAAAACTGCCTTACGAATTGCTAGCTGCTGACCAAACTATGAACAATTAACATGAGCTATAAATTACTGACCCATAGCGTGTGCCAAAGTTCATAGGCCAGGCAACTGTTCTCCCATGCCTTTCTCGAACATTTCTCTCTTTCAAAAGTCGGAGACATGTGTTCTTTTGAGTGAAGCAGTTGATATCGGTATCAGTGGTATAAGCTACCTACTGGATGAGCACCCGTATATGTAGGTACATTACTACATATGTAGGCATCATACAAGCTGCCAGGCCTATCCGTGACTTTGGATTCTAATAGCGCATAACGTGACCCAGGGCAGTTACGAACAGACTATCTAAGGCGTGCGTCCGGTTTTAATGAGGCATTTCCTTCGCAAGGTCATCGGCAATTCAACTATCTACACAATAACCCACCCACAGCCACGCTGAATGTTACGGGGAAGTCCGGCATAGCAAAGAAGTTTGATAAGGATTTTCCGGCCATTTTTAGTCTCGTTTTCGTAAATAATGATTGTATTGTAGAAACTCTGTTGGGTAGAGAATGTAACTTTTATTGAATAGTGCAAAATGATACCAGCGATGCAGCCATGGTCAATACTCAGTCTTGAGAACAATTAACATTCCAATGCCCAGTTCAACAAGAACACCACGATACCAATGCCTTCGCCAAACATATGTCTGTCTCTCCCTTCAATCACCGGCTGCTCCAAACCCTCTCCCGCAATACAGACACAATGTAAGAGACCTCAAACATCACCGAAATTTATCACTCATCCAAAGATACGATTCGGCCTGCTTCCGCGGCGTCGGGAGGGCCTCCTGAAGCTGCCTCCCCTGCTGCCTCCGAACCCGCCTCCGAACCCGCCTCCGAACCCGCCTCCTCCGAAGGACTGCTGGTTGGAGACCGCCTGGGTGTTTGAGAAGTCAGTGTTGCCAAAGAGTCCCGAGGTGCCGAAGTTGGTGGCGCTGGCCGAGTTTGTGCTAATGGCATTACCTCGTGCAGTACCCTGAAATACAGAACAAAGGAACAGTGAGACCATTGCTGGATTTGGATTTTGTCATGGCAAGTGATAGAATAGTTAGTTTCTGCTCAACTTTTGCCGCCGGGCTAGGAGAATGCTTTAGCGTTGAGATTTAGTATTCTAATATTCTTGGGCCCACGCTGATCCCAAACGACTTTTACTCCCCACACTGACCTCAGTTGACTTTTTACTGGCCCCAGGTGACCTTCGCTGATCCACACTGAGCCCAAGTAACCTTTACTGACTCCAACTAACCCCACACTGACCCCGTTGACGTTTACTGACCCCTGGAGACCTTTACTTATCCCCGGGTGACGTTTACTGACCCCTGCCAGCCTTTATTTATCCCCCGTTGACCTTTTCTGACCCCCGTTGACCTTTACTGACCCCCGTTGACCTTTACTGACCCCCGTTGACCTCAACTCACCCCAGCTACGGCGGAGAGCTGTGTGACGCGGCTGTTTTGGAACAGTCCCGAGCTGCTGCCCGAGATGACGTTGGCGCTGGCGCCGCCGGTGGCCTGGCTGCCTCCTCTGAACCTGTTGAAGAACTGGGGGTCCGCCGAGGCGGCCACTGCCAGGCAGAGCACCAGACACGCCGTCCGCATGGTGAGAGAGCTGGAATACGGCAGAGATGGGTGCTAGTTAGTGGCGAGGAGAGGCGAGATCTCTGCGCCTATTTTACATTGTTGATATGTGTATGAACGCTACTGGAGACCCGATGACGCGACTGACAAAAGCGTTATATTATAAGTGATATTTTTCGAACACGTTTATCAAACGGTCAACAACATAGGTAAAGTTACTACGCTTATTAGCCTGCTGGCATAGAGGAAATGAGTAACCACTAACGAAGCTACAGCAGAGCCTGGAACTCAATGAAACAATTATACCTTTTCCAACAACACCTCAGCTTACATACAAATCACCAGACCAATGGAACGTAAGCAAATGACTTGAAAATCTTATCCCGTTTAATCAGTACTTCTTATTAGCAAACTTATCGTATCCTTGAACCATAGACCACTACATACCTGTGGTATATAATGGTCTATGCAGTTGAACATATCACACAAACGCTGCATCCTTAAGCATGACTCTATCTAAACGCCTCTCTTCTTCACTTACCAGCTGAGGGGGAAGTGTGGACCGGCAGACACCTCTGAAGACAGTGCACTCCGGCTCCGCTCCCCGTGTCTTTATAGGCCCGGCTGAGTCAGAGGCTCCTCGTGGGAGTCTGTGGTTAGGTCTGCAGAGATATGCCTGTCGCCTCGGGGGAGTTATTAAATAGCCTCAGAGCGAGCAAGGCTGAGGTCATGGGGGAATGGGAGTGGGCCGGGGGAAGGCAGGGCATGGTGTGGGGAGGACTGTTTAGTGTATATTCCCCATCTCAATTCCTCGGCAGCGCCATCGTATTCATTTGATTGCAAATAAGTGTGAATAGCAAATCGTTTGCATGTAGTTCCGCTTGGTTGCAGTTTTACATAAGCAAAATGGTTTCATTTTGGGTTGGATTTGGATCGAAAACGGTTGGAAGCTTTCATTCGGTTTTCCTGAGCCTCTAGTTCCGATCTGAACGTGAACGGTGAGACTATTTAGTAAAAACATGGTGCACAGATGTTTTCAGGTGCAACTGACTCTTCGAGGTTTTATGAGCACACTTCTTATCTCTCACGTTTTGCTACCTGGCAGCAATGCCTCACAACTACCAGCCTGCACGCCAAGTTTGTTGTCCTCCTTACGGCATATTGCTCGCTTTCGCTGCTCGTTTTCGGCACAACCGTAACGCTTTTCAATCACGCAATGCCCCACGCCACATCATCACCAATGCATCTCATGAGCTTCTCGACATAACTCATCTCCCAATTCTATTCTGAGCACGCCCTAAATGTTCGTATTTTCCGATGCATCACATCGCCTACAAGAAATTCCCGGCCACTTCCAGTGGTGCTTTAGAGTTTACACACGGTTTACTATGCGACTCGGCCGACAAACTATGCGAATGGCTGGGAATCCCTGACGCTGGGAGGCGCTCGTACGTACCCCGCGGGTCGGGAGGGACCAGAGGACCACACCTGGTCCCGTGTGGTCCGGTGTGGTCCGCCTCGGCCCGGTCCGGCCCGGCCCGACTACAGGTAAAGCTTTGAACAGTCCTCAGGTGAACCGTCCCCCGACGGACGAGCATGGGAAGGGGAGAGCAGTGGGGGATGGAGTACAGAGGAAGGGAGGGAGTGTGGGTGGTGTCTGATGTGTTCCCTTGGGAAAATATCATGGTGATGGTAATTTTTTGTGTGCAGAGATCAAAGCCATTTCATTCGTAATTACTGGGATCGCTATTGCATTTGGTCATCAGTCGAACTCACGATGTTCAGAAAACCGCTAAGGGGTTGACGTGCTCGTGCAATCTTCGCTTCGACAGCGTTTGCTAGGTCTGTGTTTTTCGGTTTTCTTCAGAAATGAACAAAATTGTATTATTCATCCTTGTCAGTTGTACTCACAACCGTCTTCGAAAACGGTTTTATAACTAAGTACTCCTGAGACCTGATAGGTATCACCTTGACGGGCGTAGCCTAAATTCAGGTAGCATATAACTTCGAGGTATTCTCTGGGAGCGCTCAATTTTGGGCTGCTTTCCTCCAGTTCCTTTGTCTCTGCTGTTGCCGCCAGCTATCCTTACACGGGAGCAGCAGGGGAGAAGCACCACTTTGTGGTCTGTGTCGGCCGTTTGGAGGGGATCACCTCGAACGTTTCCACGAAGTGATCTGCTGGAAACTTATGGGACGGGGTTCAAGAAAAACTAGTTGACAACTACTCATTAGCTAAAATTACATGGGGTGTCTTTGTCCCCCTTTTCTCAAAAATCATAAATGACACTTAAGCCCGCGCTCCACTGAGGTGGGGGGCTATAGCCCCTTCCGTTTTTCTGCAATAACTCTCCAACCGCTTGACGAATCGACGCCAAACTTTCAGTACCTTCGGCTGCATCGATTTGACACCTTGCATCAAAATACGAATTTCGTAGCTAACATAGGTCGGCTGGAAATCACGTCAGAGTGACGTCATGTTCGGCCGATTTCGACGCAAAACATTTAACCACGGCAATCGCTCCCAAGAGCTCAGTTTTTAACTTACATCCAATTTCTTTGCATGATAGGACTCAGAATAAACTGTGCTATCAAACTGGTATCTCGGATTTTCGAAATTTCGAGCATTTTGAATATTAGGTATATGTATTAAATTTCAAAATTTATATTTTTATCTTATTCAATTTTTTTCTAATTTTCGCAATGATCGGAATATATGTGATAGAACACATGCTTATGACTTACTTAAGCAAGTTTTAGCCAGATATCTTCAAAAATGGCCAAGTTATAAGCATTATAGCAAAAAATTAACAATTCTAATTTTTTCAAATCAATTTTTCGTACGTATTTGACATCTTGCACCAATATAAATATCCTCATCGTGTTTCTGAGCTCAAACTGCATCCGATAGTAACCTTTTTTGCTGAAAAATTTTAACTGAAAAATTTGAGCTTTTTTGATCTGACCTGACCTGACTTTTTTGGCCTGACCTAAGCTAAATTCAACTCAAAATGATCTCGAATGACATAAACGACATCACATTCGAAATCTATGGCCTAAATGGATCATAAACATGTGTCACGTGACCGAAACCTACATGATATAAGATTTCCGTGACCTGTGATGACCTGACCCTGACCTGAAAATCAAAGTACAGGTTTGGTACCCTCAGGGTATCTAATGCATCTGTTCACGAGTGTGGAAGCCAAAAATGGGCCTAATCTGACTTGTAAGCCGGCGGCCAGAGCCCAAAATGTGAACAAGCCAAACATTGATAATTTTTACTTTGACCTGACCTGTGACGTCATCGGCGACCTCGAGGTCAATAAAATTAGGTTTCGCTCGACAACTTTTCCGGGGCTATCAGACGCCGTTTGAATTTTGACGATCGGCCAAGTAGTTTCGGAGTTAGGAGGTGGGCTATGAAGAGCCCCCCCCCCCCTGTAGGGCGCATTTTACGCAGACCCCAGTGGGGCGCGGGTTAAATGTCAGCATTGGTAGTTTTCTGTAGGGGAAGATGCAGACCGCATTTACCCCTACACATCAGACGAGCGCGCTCCTGGGCTTCCTTGTATGTATGTATGCGTTACCATCATGGACAATCCACACGCCGGGCGTGGCGATCACAGTCCAATTGACTGCAATGTGAGTCACAGACAGCTTAGCGTGGAACCCTTACGATTGCATTTACTTTCTAAATGAGGACGCATAACAGCTTATCGAGTACCTTCGAACTTCTGCTGGAGAAAGAAGGTAAGAAAGAAAAGAGAAACTTGGCTGATAATAGCCGTTTTCACGACGGGCTATCTGGCGAATGCACCTAATTTGACCTAATTTGCACCAAATCTGCACCTAATCTGCACCAAATGTGTACCAGTTGACTGTCGTGAAAACGTCTATTATCTACCCACTTGGAGCAAGAAAGTACAAGAGTTTTACCGACATCTCTGTTACGAAACGTAGGAGTAGGAGCCTTGCAAACTGGAGCTCCTCCTGATTTTGAAAGCGATCTCCAGCCCTGTTGAATAACGCTTACTAAAAGAATGAAGACGACCCATATGGCGAATGTGTTCACGTTTAACGTTTATTTTTACCTTCACCGATACGGAACATGTACAGTCTGTCTTAAAAGTACCGCGCAAAGTGACGGTGGATCCACCAAGCCTGACTGAAGAAGGGGCTGCTATAATTTGAAAGTCACCGAACCAATTGACCTAGGGAATGGACGAGGATGTTAATTGCTTTAGTGACTCAAATTTAGTAGGCCCTTCCTCGGTCAGGCATGATGGATCCACCGTCACTTTGCGCGGTACTTTTAAGACAGACTGTAAATTGCACATACACAATGAGGACTTCAAGCCCACGTTTCGCATAGCTCAATGCGATGGCTAAATGTGACAAGCAAAACAGTTCACGTCTCTTTTATAATTGTGGTCTACAGCATTACCTACGGGGTGCTGACAGCAAAAACAGCATAGCTTAGCTACGCCAAATGCCTCCCTGAGTGTACGTGATTCTATAAAATTACATCGGCACGTTCCTCTCAAATCACATAAAGGCATCACCTTTCATCGTCATTTGGTCATAGTTAATCAGTTGTGCCAATTCCAAGGGTCACTGACTAGAAGAGCACTTTGCTCGGGTACTGCCGGCGCTGGTAATTGGGCTGGAAATTTGACTGGAATTTAGGCTGGTAATTCGGCTGGTAATTCGGCTGGTAATTCGGCTGATAATTCGGCTGGAAACTCGGCTGGTACGGCTGCTGGAAGCTGGTCTGGTACGGCTGTTGGAAGCTGGGCTGGTACGGCCGCTGACCCAGCGCGGCCAGCAGTCCGCCGTCGCGAATCTGCTGGTCGGAGACAGCGCTGGTGCTGGAGAGCTGCTGGTTTCCCAGCAGTCCCGACGCGGACGACTGGGAGGCGCTGGCCGAGTTGGAGCTGATGGCGCCACCGCCGCTGGTCGATCCCTGCAGCCGGACAGAGGACACCGTCAGACACGGCGGGAGGGGCGCGGGGAACACACGAATACGTTTCGTATTCACACTTACTTTGTCCTCCTTTAGAACTAATCAAATCACGCAATTTACAGGGTCTTACATCGTCTGTTATCGTACAAATTACAGTTCAAGGTAGCTTGGAAAGGTTATGTAGAAGAGATTCCCAACTTTCGGCTGATAGCTTGATAGCCTAACCAAAGACCGCCCGCTGGTCTCTCACCCCGGCCTGGGCGCCGACTTGGACGATCTGCGAGCTCTGCAGGGGCCCTCCGCTGGACCCGGAGACCACGGTACCGGCGGCAGACCCGGAGGCCTGGCTGGGGGTCTGCGTCAGACCGCTGAGAAAGTCCAGCGGAGCGGCCGAGGCCAGCGACAGGGCGCACATCAGGGGGACGGCCAGCAGGGGACGCATGGTGGGCGCTGAAAACGGGGAACAATGGGGGGGGGGGGTCAGAGACGGGGTGAGAGCTGAACACAGGAGGGATGAGTGAGACTGAACATACCTATATCGAGGCAGGTTATCGATAAGTGCCGTTAAAAAGAGCTGTTTTGCAGCGCACATACATTAGATATCTATCAAAATAGCGCAAGTAGAAACATTGCAAATAGCAGTTGTTGATGAGTTTAGCCAACATAATTCATAAAGCGTAACGAGGCAAATAAATAGCTGCTATGCTTTAAGTAAATCGCTTAGAATACTGCAAAACAGACAGTTTTATTTGAACATTATTTCTAGATATATTATTCTAAGCTTACTGTTATTGGCTGCTTGAGGTCCTTCCCCTAACGACGTGGACTATGATCTAAGCTGTTCAGACCGGTCCTCGGTTTTATACAGCATATCATCAACGCTGAAGGTCGGAATTCCCCGTGTAGCGTGCGCACTGCGCCGGGCTTTAGGTTTGGCTGTGGTTTCGAGGAAGTCCGCACGCTGGTTAGAGGTGTGCACGGACCGACGACAAACCCCCCGCCCGTCGGCACGCGCTGTATAAGATGGTCATAGTACTACGAATAGAAATCGGGCTTCGTAGTTAAGCGTTGCGGGCTTAGGAAACTCCGGAGAGTCATAAGAATGAACCGGGTGGGGTGTCGAACAAAAACAGAGCGTGACTGGATGTTTTCAAGACTTTCTGAGAAACTGAAGAAGAGAAGAAGGAAGAGAGCACACGAGAGAGAGAGAGAGAGAGAGAGAGAGAGAGAGAGAGAGAGAGAGAGAGAGAGAGAAAGAGAAGAGAAAGAGCGGGAGAGAGTACCGCAACGCAATAACAGCGAAGGCATTAGAGACAAGGTTATTTTATGATAAAGCATCCCACTCCCACGGTAGATGAGAGACTGGCGAGAATTAATTTGCAATTAACAGTCTTGAACAATGTTAGCGGACGAAAAAAAATAGACGTGTACCAGGTACCTATCTCTACAGCCAAGCACTGGTGAAAGGTTGGTGAAAAGACTAATTGAAGATGTTGAGTTGACTGGTTGCCAGTTGTTAGGCATATCGTGTCGCACCGGATCATGCACATGCATCTATCTGAGTGTCTATGTAGTGTGCAGAGTCCGCTACGAAACAAGTGACTTGAGTCTTGGATGGGTCTTAAGTCACCTGGGTCATCTCCCATTCAGCTACTAATTCCAGCTTTCATTTCGTAGTACTCCTGTGTTTGGCTCCGTTAACTCCCCAAGCTGTGTCGGGCGGAGGTTCACCGGTGGTCCATTCACATCTCTAACTACGTGAGGAGCTTCTCGCATACAGCCGGGTGATGCCCTACGTCACGATATACGCGGGGGAATTCCGTACTCCAAAGCTCGCACGCGCTGTATAAAACACTCGAGCAGTCCGGACAACGCAGAGCACATTCCAGCTTCAAGGTGTGAGGATCTAACAAGATCTGCTTTTGGTAAGTTTTGGTTACGTTTAGGTTTTAGTCTTCCTATTTTTCATTGTCGATAATATTTGCTCGTCATAAATATACAACATCAACTATTGCATAATGAGATACGACAGATACGCGAACTTTCTATTTTCATCAACACAATAAAAACCATAGCAAATAAAGGTTGTCAGATACCTATAACTCGTGTTTTGAGACACATCAATGCAGGCCTCTGAACCCCCCGTTCCCCGTTTTCAGCGCCCACCATGCGTCCCCTGACGGCCGTCCCGCTGCTGTGCGCCCTGTCGCTGGCCTCGGCCGCTCCGCTGGACTTTCTCAGCGGTCTGACACAGACCCCCAGCCAGGCCTCCGGGTCTGCCGCCGGTAACGTGGTCTCCGGGTCCAGCGGAGGGCCCCTGCAGAGCTCGCAGATCGTCCAAGTCGGCGCCCAGGCCGGGGTGAGACGGGATTCGGTCTTTGGTAGAGGGTGTATCTGACACAAGTTGGGGAATCTATTCTACATAACCTTGCCAAGCTAACTTGAACTGTAATTTGTACCATATACGACAGGAGAAAAAGTTTGTGAATACCGTGAATCAATTAGAAATCGAGCAGGTCAAAGTAGACGTGCCTTTTAAGGGTATTCGTGCGTTCCCCGCGCCCCTCCCGCCGTGTCTGACGGTGTCCTCTGTCCGGCTGCAGGGATCGACCAGCGGCGGCGGCGCCATCAGCTCCAACTCGGCCAGCGCCTCCCAGTCGTCCGCGTCGGGACTGCTGGGAAACCAGCAGCTCTCCAGCACCAGCGCCGTCTCCGACCAGCAGACCCGCGACGGCGGACTGCTGGCCGCGCTGGGTCAGCAGCCGTACCAGCCCAACTACCAGCAGCCGTACCAGCCGAGCTTCCAGCCGAATTATCAGCCGAATTACCAGCCTAACTACCAGCCGAATTACCAGCAGAACTACCAGCCGAGCTACCAGCCGAATTACCAGCCGAATTACCAGCCTAACTTCCAGTCGGATTTCCAGCGGCAGTATCAGAGCCAGCAGTTTCCGAGTGGCCAGTATTTCTAATATAAAGTGATGGTCGTGGACTGATGACTGTGTTATTGTAATACACCTTTTTGCACTCAAAATAGGCATCTTTTCATTCAATTTCGGCGAATTGCATTCAATTTTAGCGATCTCTCTATTCGAAGCAAATGAGAGATCGCTAAAATTGAATGCAATTCGCCGAAATTGAATGAAAAGATGCCTATTTTGAGTGCAAAAAGGTGTATTTCATTGGGGCATTACATAGAATTACATCGTTGCGTCTCCATCACCTTCATATGTGTGAATGGCAAAGGTCTGGCAGTCAAGTTAAAAAAGTCACACATTGTTTAAATCTGCGTCGAGCTGTTAAAAATAATGTCTTGTGGATTCATGTGTCACATTTTTTCGCCGCTAAAAACAGAGACGTTACATCGAGCTGTCCCTATCCTCATCTGATGATGGTTCCAAAATTTCTCAGTGCAGAGTTGTACGTGTAAGTTGACATGCCAGTTCATTCTATCAGTTGGCGTTGACCTTGGGCTGGTCCGTGCACGAGTGAATAGTTGTTTGTTTTTACATTACCGTTTGTTTGTTCTTGCATTTAAGTTGTTGTTGTGTTGCTATGTTAGGCATATCGAGTGAAGTTGCAGGGCCAATTGTCACCCATGATTTTTATACAAATAAAGGTTCACGCCTCTTAATTCGTCTTTTATTTTTTTAACGATTCTAGCTCTATCACTATCTCTATCTCTATCTCTATCTCTATCTCTCTCTCTCTCTCTCTCTCTCTCTCTCTCTCTCTCTCTCTCTCTCTCTCTCTCTCTCTCTCTCTCTCTCTCTCTCTCTCTCTCTCTCTCTCTCTCTCTCTCTCTCTCTCTCTCTCTCTCCCTGCACCCGGAGGGTAGTTCCCCCGTCTCTTACTAAACTAACATTGCAGGGAGTGATCTGTATATTTACAACTCAACCCACTGTGCCGTCTGGGCTGCCGCTCGCCGCGACTATGAGTAGGTAACTGTTGGGACCGGACCGCGGGCAGAGGTGGTGTGAAGTGCTCCAGAGACTCGGCTCTGCCACGGCCCGTGTCAGACTATGACACGGCCCGTGTAGCCACACTGTCTCAGACTGTGACAAGGAGTGAATTGTGACCAGATGCCGACACGTGACTTGCCAGCTACCCGGACCTGTGAGAGCGATAGACGTTTGAAGATCGATTTTGGAGGACGTGCAGCTTGAAGAGGAAGCGACCTTCCATCACTTTTGGTGCTACGAGCCTCACCTTCAACTGTCCTCAACAGATTTTAAACAATGGACACCGTCAAGCGCATTGTGGGCAGTCTAGCAGGAGACAATAGTTCCATAAATCGCTCCGAATTAAAACACCGACAAAACGGTTCTGGCTTCAAGAAACCGTGTGACAAACACGCTGACAAGCATCAAGCAGAGGAAGAGGAGCGCCGCCGCCGCCGCCGCCGCGACTCTTCCGACAGTGCTGACGGCAGTGAGGGTGGAAAGTGGCCGTGCAGATTGAGCTAAGATGCTGAACTAAGCGTCAGCCAACTGGCCTAGCTTCGGCCGGGTGCTGTTTATACGATTGTTTGCGCTTGGGTCTAACCGCTTCTGATATAATTTAAACGCGATAATGAGGGAAATATTATATGATAACCGAGGAGCCTAGGCTATTGCGCTGCGATCTCTGGGTGATTGTAACAAATGTTTAACAAATAAACGGATGGAATAGCCTTTGCTTTCAGTTATTTATTTTCAACCAAACCCAGAAAAAGAAATCAGCAAATCACAACATAATGTAGGCTTACGCTGATTGCTGTTATAATGTTGACGGACCAGAAACCCCCCGGTTATATACAGATGTTTGGTAAGCATAGAAGTCACGATATCTTTTGTAATCTGATTCTTGTTTGTGATTTAGCCACCTAATGCTTTCTGTGTATTTCAACGCGAGTCACAAGACGTGACAAGTTTGGTTAACTGTTAAAAAGACTTGTCATGTAGCTCACGGTAGCTAAATATCAGCATGCGCTGTCTCATGACGTCCAATTTATCGCTGGCGCGGAAATTCCCCTAGATCCTCCCTTCTCAGTGCTGACCTTATTCATTTAGAGGTGACTCGCAGCGGGGACCGGTCTGAATCGGACCCTGTCTGGGCTCGGTGACTGGTGAAATTGATGCTTGTTTGGCCGTCGCGGGTTCTTGGTATTCCCCGATGTGTTTCCAGTGAGGTGGCTGAATAAATAGTCGCGCTGGGTTCCCCGCAGGCCCTGCATGGGGTGTTTGAGTTTGTTTTTGCCTTTGGTATTTCTCTGCGATGACTGAAACTATGGGATTGAGAGAGAGAAAGAGAGAGAAAGAGAGAGAGAGAGAGAGAGAGAGAGAGAGAGAGAGAGAGAGAGAGAGAGAGAGAGAGAGAGAGAAAGAAAGAGAGAGAGGAAGACAGACAGACAGCTAGGGATTATTGTGGACGATTATTGCAATTTGCACCCGTGTGTTTATGCACTTGTTTCACTCTTGCATTAACGCACACGTGCAATAACCACCCTTCGTGCACTTAACCCATTATTGCATCCAACACCATGATGAAGTTGATGAGTCATTCCGAAAATCTTTATTATATCACGTTTTGGATAGCAGCAGCGTTTGGAACATGTGTGCGCTGGATAGCAGTTGACAAAAGTAAATGTTTAACAGCAGTATAATATCGTAAAAAGTCATGGCACAGCAGGGACGAGAAGAAAATGCGAGAAACAATTGTCTAGACGCGATGGCCACATCCAACCTAGTGTATCACATCTCTTCTCAAATGAGTCTTAAAATCAGCACAAGACCGCTCCGCCAATCACATCTTCAACACGTGCTGTCGCTCCCAGATATCTCCACATCGCTGAAACCCTCTCCTCAACATCCCTTGGCGCTCGTCTAGCCGTAGAAGTTGCCGAAGTGGTTGCGGCGGTATGGCCTGTTGAAGCCGCCGCCGAACGAGCCCTGGTTTGAGACTGCGTTCGTGTTGGAGAATTGCTGGTTGCCGAACGGACTAGAGATCCCGATGTTGGAGGCGGTGGCCTGATTGTTGCTGTAGCCGTTTCCTCGAACGGAGCCCTGCGGGTAAATGTGTGGGTGTTAATACGGAAGAGGAATGTGCTTGAGTACTGTTTCTAACGTGTTCGACTTTGGACTCAAAGTAATGAACAAATATGGAAGTAAAATAATTTTTACACTAAGCAATATAATATTAGGTATATATTACAAATAAATATGGAGCGGATATTTGTAGGTAACCTATTTCAAGCATTATTTATGTACCTATTAAGAATAACACATATAAACAGCGCCATGCGTACCAACAATGACTGACTTGGGTTACCAAGAAATTGATAAATCTTATAGGGCTTACCTGCGCCTGGGCGCTGACTTGTGTGATCTGTGAGTTCTGATAGGGTCCCGAGCTGCTGCCACTGACGACATTGCCTGCGGCGTTTCCGGTGGCGGACCCGCCCTGGTTGTATCCTCCGGGTCGGAAGAAACCAAACGGCACAGCCGCGGCCGTCGACAGCACGGCGAGAAGGACAACGGCGGTCTTCATAGTGGAGGGAGCTGCCAAATGAGAGAATATTCATAGTGAAGGGAGCTGCGGCAGGAGAGTTAACGAAAATGTTTTATAGTGGAGGAAGCACCAAAAGAAGGATGACGTCATCATTATAGTGCATGGAGCTGCGAAGTGGGAGAATCTTCATAGTGATTCGAAGTGCGAAAGGACAGTAACGACAATCTTGAATCTTAATAGTGAATGGAGCTGCGATAGAATAACGAGAAGCTGTATAGTGAAGGGAGCTTTATAGTGAAAGTTGAGCTATACGAAAAGAGAGTATTGATAGTGATAGGAAGTGCCAAAATAGAGCAGCATTTCAAATTGAACTTCCTGAACAGTAAGATCAGGATGCCTTGTGTGGAACGACTGAAGTGAAAGGATTTCCAAGGCTTCTGTTTAGCATATGGGCATAAAAACACAAGGCGCACGGTGCAGCAAAGAGCCACAACAGCTGTAATCGCAACACCGCAGCAACTCTTCAAACACACAGACGCACACAAACACGCTACACTCCTCCTCCTAGCTCTCTCCTGCACCCCGTCTGTACTCACAGTGAAGAAGTGGTCCGTGCCGCCGACCCGCTATCTCTGCGGCCATCTGCCTCCCACGGAGACCTTTTATCCCTCTCAGCTCGCCTGGGCCCGGCCGGGCGCGCCTCAGAGAGCTGGGAATCCCTGCACCCACCGCCGCCCCGGGCTGACGGTGGAGAACAGGCGCGGAGAGACTGGGAGGTCGTGCGAGGGGCGTGCTCGACTCGAGAGGGCGAGCTCGGCTGGAGGGTGAGGATGACGAAGAGGTTGGAGATCCGCTTCGGGAGCCGGCCACCGGTCGGGAAATCTGCCCGGTGAAAGGTGCTGCGTATAACAAAGGCAGTGATGACTGTTTGCAGTCTGTGTAGGAACAGGGCGGGCTGGCCGTGCATCCGTATTTTACTCATGTAAGCAGACGAGTTCTTCATTGTTTTGCATGCAAAATGACATTTTGATTTTATTTTATTTAGAGGACTTTTTATTTTCCCTTTGATTTCCGTTTGAATGTGAACAGAGCCTTCCATTTCTACAAGAACGATAAGTTTGCAAAGTGACTAGGTGTCTCTTAAATCACAATGGCGCAAGAGCCCAACCGATCGTGAGCTCTTATTATGCAAAATTGAGCAGTCTTTGATGGATTCGCAGCCGCAGGTCCCTTCAACCGGATATGGCTTTGTTCCAAATTTACCTACAAAACAGGCATACCTGCACATCTAATCACCAATTGTCAAGATACAACTACAAGATAGAGCTTAAAACATTTCGCAACCGTATCCCCAGCTCGATAACGTACTGCGTCGATCTAACGAAAGCACTAGGTTGTTTTTGTAGAAACTGGTTGAAATTGGGCAATACTTTGGTCGAGTTCTCATTGTCGCTACGGTCCGCCGGAGCTTATAAAAGCGGCCCGTGCGGTGCCACCGGTGGCATTTCCTAGTTGTAGGTACTGTGAGGGACTAATATCAGAGCGTCCGGTGACTGGTGAGCGTGCGCCGGGCAGCTGAACTCTTCGCCCGTAGGCCCAGGCAAGTGGCAGGTCGAGAAGGAAACAGTTACATTTTTACGTTAGTTTTTATGTTACTTAGGTACCTATATTTTGCAAACCGATACTGATTCTTAAACTTATATTTTTGCGGTTTTCATTATTCGATTTAGATATGTGCAGCAGCTGCTGCCTAATCGTGCCTACTTAGTAACTTGCATTATTTTTCTAGATAAATGGTTAAAACTGAGAATTTGAGGGGAAACTGGTTTATGCCTACGACTGATACGACTGATTGTTGATTACATAAAGGAAAGGCATGATTTGTAGAGCTACTTAAGATTATTCTTTCAAGTGTCAGTTATCTTTATGCAAGGAGTCAATTCGTATTGTACCTATCTAATAATTGCTCAAACTATCTGCAGGCAAAACAAAGCACTAAATTAAATGTAGGTACTCATCAGTACCTAATTGTTTCTTTTCCTGCCCCTCCTGGTCCAGATAATGAACGAAGAGAAAAAAAAAATAGCCTCAGAACCTATAGGTAGCATGACATCATATTTCTGTATTTGTGTTTCGCAGTGTCTTGCTCTCACCCGTTTCTTGCAGCCCCAGCAGGGTCCGGTATGAGAGCGGCCGCCATCTTGCTCTGCCTTCTATCGGCGGCAGCGGCGGCACCGTTCGGCTTTCTGCGACCCAATCAGGCCACGGGCTCGGCGCAGGGGACGCTGACCTCTGGCAGCCAGCAATTCCCTGGCGGCGGCAGCTCGCAGATCGTTCAACAATCGTCCGTCGCAGGGGTAAGAGTGGCGCACTCCGGAAACGAAAGGATAACAAAGGAGAGAAGGGAAGGGAAGGAAAGTGATGCCTAAAGGAAATATGAGATAAGTTGTACTATTTCAGCGATTTTGAAGTTTCACCATTGAAAATTGTGTTATTATTAAGGGGACCGAACAGCATAATTATCTCTTCTTTTTCGATATAAAGGAATTTTATATCTATGGCTCATCAGAATCTTTTGAAAGCTTCCATAAATAAAAGGTATCTGGTGTCTCAAATATCCGTCGCTTAACGCTAATCAATTCGTTGTAAATGCCTTTCAATCTGCAAATCTGTGATTTGTGTGTGTATGGAAATCTGGAGTTCGCCTTCTAGGTTTAGAAACAGGAATTTAACCTATTTTCTCCCGTGCAGGGTTCTACGCAAGGCCTCGCTCAGAGTCAAAACCAGGCGTTCACTAGTCACCAGAGCTCGTCGGGTTTCTTCGGACAACAGTCGGCTTCAAATACCGGCGCAGTGTCTAACCAACAGACCGGTTCCAATTTCGGATACCCCTTCCAGGGAAACTTCGGATAAAATTAGCGTAATGATTTACAATATATCACTGTGTTGTTAATATTGTATTTTTGTTTGTTTTGCACCTAAGCTTAAGAGTGTCCGTGGGTGTTATTAGTTTGTTGACTGGTTGCATGCACGGAATACGAGCTGGCTGAAAGGAGTGACGAAATTGAAATTTTGTGAATTGTGATGTATTGTGATAGCTTGTCTTCGATATAGTTTGTTTCTTCAACCAAGGAAGATCGGGTAGTGGATACCTTCGTTAGATTGTTATGGGTGTGTAATGAATGCCTAAACGAGAATAGCTGAAGCTCTTCATACTGTAATTTTTGTGTGTAGTTCCGAGATGTTTTCAGGTACGCTTGGAAGACTTTTATGTAGCCTTTGAAGTTTACATGTTTAGTTATTTTGTAATTTTAGATAAGGGCAGAAATGCCACTGCAAATACAAAAGGTACATAATATTTTATCTGTCTAAGTTATACGAAATACAATTACTGTATGTCAACACGTAAACGACAGCACGATGACACAGCACGTTTAGTGCTGTGCCAGGTGCCTTGAATGTGCCTAATTATTAACCCTCGCCCGCTCATGGGGAGAGGTTGCCACCCCCCCCCCCCCAGATAGGATTCTGCTCTGCATTTTTAACCCGACAGTTGCTGGGGTATTTCGCCACCCACCGTTTGCTGGAGGGGGGGGGGGCGTTAAACGCCCCAGCCGATAACTCGAGAACCAATAGGCGCAGCGAAACGCACGAGGCGGCAAACGAAAGGGCGCGACGAGACGCTTCAGATGAATACTTTAAAGTTGAATTTTGAGGTCACAGGTCGGGTCAAGGTCAGGTCAAACACCTGAAATCGGGCTTTCAGTAGCATGGACTTCAGGACTTCGCAATGGGCGCCTCTCGCCATAAACTCTGTCAAAACGGTGCACAATCCATCTTATAAGGCCTACAAGAGTGTCAGCTCCATATAGGGGTCAGTCAAGCATAGGTCAGGGTCAAGGTCAGGTCAACCGGGTAGGCACATATCCCCGAAAATCAAAACTGATATTCGCAGCCTGTGACACATGTTTTATAGGTAATTTGAGGCGTAGAACACGATGGTGACATTCATTTTATCATATGTGTACGTGTTTGACTCAAAAAGTTCAATTTAAGAAATTCATGTATCATGGTCGTGAAGAAGTCACGAAAAATTGCCAAGATTCAGTTCAAGATTTTGGAAAATGCGGAACGATAATCAATAATCGAAGATAGCCATTTGATTGATCATGGTATTGGCAGTCTAATGGCGTTTACGGCATGTCTGTATGTCTATTCTGTGATTTTATATGATTTTTTGAACATATGCCGTTTTTGGTCGAAAACTCAGAAATCATGACGTCACTAAAACCTCGATATCTCAAAAAATTTCCGACCGATTTTTTTGAAACTTTGTCACAATAAACTTCAATCAATTCCCTACAGGTACCCAAAATTTGGCGCGCCTGCGGCGCGCCAAATTTTAACGCCCCCCCCCCCCAGCAACTCGCGGGTAGCTAGAAGCCTGATTTTCGTATAGCTGCTTCTCTATCCTTTCTCAGCGTCCGCTGAAAATTTCAAATTTCTGTGTTTTTTTCGGAGATATGAACTTGTTCTTCAGGTCATGTCATGAGTAACAGCTGTTCTAGCTGGCTTGGCACCACAAACGACAGCGTCATCGGAAGATGATGGGCACGGCACGTGATATTCCAATGGTGGCCCCAAACAGCAACATTTTTTGTTTGACCTGACCTGGAAGGCCAATGATTGACCTAATGAGGTAAAATTCGGTACCCTTGGATTTGTCTCTTCCTAAAGAATCTGTTGGTCTATATCGCGAAGCTCTATCTCCAGCAGGAACGAAATGGCGCGGGGGTAGCAGCCCCCCCCCCCCCCATGTCCGTTCTGGGATGAAAATGGCATGTGCGAGCGAGGGTTAAATGTCATTATTAAATGTCATGTAATATCGCTCTTGCATTATCGCATTATCACAAAAAAGTTCGGAATTCTATTTTTTGCGATAACGCGATATCGCAATATTGCAAAATCGCAAAATCGCACGGAAAAATCGCGTAGTGGAGCCTGGGCCTAAACGCCTTGAATCGCATCAGAAAGGACCAGTTCAGGGTGACGAAATGATCTGATAGGGGAAGACATTGAGGTTCGTTGATGCGTGCGTCGTGGCTAGTGAAGCGCGACCCTATTTCGTGAGATGAGCCATCACGGAACTTATATTATCTGTTTGACGACCAGCCGCTCAAAACAGGGGTAGATGATCGAGAAATCAAATGGAAGTGGAGTAAAGACAAGCTAAAATAGCTCGGCACAATAACACTTCACTTGGCGAAGTTTTCCCGTTTGCACAACAGAACGAAGACGAGAACGAAGCTTTCGTCTTGTTTCGTTCGTTGTTGCTACGTTGAAGGTTAAGGTAATTGCTGTGTGATATTCACATTTCGCTGCCAGCATTTCCTTAAGTTTATAACCCAGTTTCGGGCTGCAGTTCACGACCTCTCGTTGCGCAATAATTAACCGACCTTAGAATTGCGCAACAGCAGAATTGTAGGAGTGAGAGCAGAGTGGACGGCTCTTGTTCGCCTCCACTCTGCCCGCTACCCTCCCCCACTCTGCCCGCTACCCTCCCCCACTCTGCCCACTACCCTCCCCCACTCTGCCCTCTACCCTCCCCACTCTCCCCGCTACCCTCCCCCACTCTGCCCGCTACCCTTCCTCACTCCGCTGTGCAGTCAGCCGTACCCTTCCGCCGTCCAAGTCATCCATGGTGACTTAAAACTTACTGTCCAGTCAGCTTCGGTGAACAAGGGTCTGCCTCGTAGCCTTCTCTCTCCCTCATCCCCCTCTCTCTCTCTCTCTCTCTCTCTCTCTCTCTCTCTCTCTCTCTCTCTCTCTCTCTCTCCCTCACCCCTCTCTCTATCTCTCTCCCTTGTGCCCTCACCCTCCACCCCTCTCTTCTCATTACCTGTCGAGTCCCCCCCCCCCCTCTCTCTCTCTCTCTCTCTCTCTCTCTCTCTCTCTCTCTCTCTCGCAGCACCAATGGCCGGCACGACCCTGGGATGGTGCTCGCCGCCCGGCCGGTCCGCGCAAGACGGACGGGTTTTCCAAGGGTTGTTGACACCACGCTGACCTCTGCGCGGGTATGAGTCACGAGTCTGTGCGCGCGCCGGACGACAAGGAAGTGAAACATAATGACGGGGAGGAGAGAGAAGAAGAGGGGTGGGGTGATTGGAGGTGGGGGATTTTGGCAGCCGCCAGCGGGGAGTCGGGCGCGATAGAAGAGAGGGAAGGTATTGCAGCGAGAGACAAAGAGGAGGAGAGGAGAAGCGTGAGAGATAGAGAGAGCGAGAGTGAGAGAGAGAGAGAGAGAGAGAGAGAGAGAGAGGAGAGAGAGAGAGAGAGAGATACAGACAGACAGACAGACAGAGACAGAGAGACAGAGCGAGAGAGAGGAGATCGAGAGCGAGAGAGAGAGAGAGAGAGAGAGAGAGAGAGAGAGAGATGAGAGAGAGAGAGAGAGAGAGAGAGAGAGAGAGAGAGAGAGAGAGAGAGAGAGAGAGAGAGAGAGAGAGAGAGAGAGAGAGAGAGAGAGAGAGAGAGAGAGAAGAGAGGTTAGTTACTTCAGGGAAAAGATAGGGACTGAGATAGATTGATAGACTGAGAACGAGCTCCAAAAAAATGTGTAAAATATTTTGCCAACAGATCAGTTCCTAGAAACAGTTATCATCGGTAACAATAACAACCCGATTTTATCGCGTGATGTCTGATGAGGCCCGTTTCAAATCAGTCATTTTCAAAACTAGGGTAGTACCTTAACTAGTGCTACCTTTCCTTGTTCGTCTGCAGTCTCCGTTCATCCCATTTGAGCGTGGTGTTTTGCTGTTCTGCCAAGTTGCAGTCTCCATGTGCGTCGTGTGCTGATCTAACCTGCAGTGGTAGACTGTACCGCATGACAATTATGCCATGCGGTGCAGTATATACCCTCAGGCATTTACACAACTGCGAAAAACGGGCTCAGGGCTCGGTGTTTCTATTTACGCGATTATTTCTATGCTTTATTGACATCTGTGTGCCCGCCCAGTCCGGCATTCTTTATGTTTCCCATCAATTTCTTATAGGTGAGTGAGGTGAGCCCACATCTGCTGCGATCATTAACGGCGGCAGACACCGGACTGCGGACGCCGGGCTGGGGGGGGGGGGGGTGGGAGCCGGGAATGAGCGGGGGAGGGACGCCGCCACCGCTCCTGGGCCCTGGCACAGCCGGGACCCGCCGCCGCGCTGCCGCATTATCAAAACACAACTGAAAGGGATCAACAGTCCTCCCGACCAAACGATCGGCTAATGGTGTAGGGTGCCACGGAATATACCTAATTCAGGGGCGGTGACGGGACCGAGACGAGGCGCTGGTGACCGGACACGGGGACTGTGACGCCGCCTGGAGCCGCCCCTGTCCGGGCGGGGCCAGCCGCGGGCTCCGGACGCTCCGAGGGGGAGACGGGCGGGGTCCGACGGCCCCGGACCGTCCGGCGGGGTCGAGCAGGCAGGGCGCTGTCGGCACCCCGCCACCTGGCCGAGCACAGAGAGAGAGAGAGACAGTGCTGCCACCTGCCGACTTAGCGAGGTGCAGGGATGCGTGTCTGAGGTATTCTCCCGGTAACGCCTCTCCTCTGTTAGGAAATCCGCAGTGGGGATAACGGCCGCGGCAGGGCTGCTACATTTTCATTTGTCCTTCCTTCCGTCCTGCACCTAATATCTACCTATCTGTGTCTATCTTTGCGTTCATGTTTATTTATTTTATTTATTGCAAATCTTTGTGGCATCCATACGATTTGGCTTTTACGCCACAGCGTCATACATTGTGTGCCATAGCCTAAAACCAGGGGGGTGCGCTCCGGGCTTTTAACATTACGAAAAGTGGAGACACCTTCGCTAGCGCTGTCAGCATCGTAAGCATTCTAAACAACAACTGCAGTAATCCCACCAATCAGCGTACGACAATACTCGACGCTCATTGGCTGATAAGCCAGTGACGATTTTGGGGGCCAGAGCGTTAGAGGTAACCTATAGCAGCACGGGCCGCTAAGTTTAGGACTTGATTTTGATATTATTTAGGCCAGTCTGATAAAAACTCTGGTCGGTTATGAAAACTGCAATTCATTCTAGTAGTGGTCCAACAAGTCTTTTTGCTTTTTTTCTAAAACAATTCGTTGAAAAATGAGTTATTAGGTGCGTACTCATGCCAAATTTGCCCCGTTACCATGGCAACCTGAGTTTGTTTGGTCCCGAGAGTCGCGGTTACTAAATTCATTGTTGTCCCCAGTTTTTCGTCGGGAGCGTTCTACCTGGTTTACATAGCCTTGCCTAAAACACATTCTCCCTATCTTTAAAATAATACACCGCGATTTAAAAAAAGGTTAAAAGACG